TGTAGCATTTCTATTCATTTGTCTCCCAGGTCTGTCACTGCTGGTGTCCTTTCCGCTGGCCATGTAGCATGTCTATTCATTTGTCTCCCAGGTCTGTCACTGGTGGTGTCCGCCCTTTTCCGCTGGCCATGCAGCGTTTCTATTCATTTGTCTCCCAGGTCTGTTACTGCTAGTCCGCCCTTTTCCGCTAGGCCATGTAGCATTTCTATTCATTTGTCTCCCAGTCTGTCACTGCTGGTGTCCGCCCGTAGCATTTCTATGCATTTGTCTCCCAGGTCTGTCGCTGCTGGTGTCGGCCCCTTTCCGCTGGCGATGCAACATTTCTATTCATTTGTCTCCCCACCAGTGTCCGCCCTTTTCCGCTGGCCATGCAGCGTTTCTATTCATTTGTCTCCCAGGTCTGTCACTGGTGGTGCCGCCCTTTTCCGCTGGCGATGCAACATTTCTATTCATTCCCCAAACAGTTTCCCGTTACGTAGGGTTTCTCAATTCTTTCTTAAGATGTGTCCGCCCTTTCTGTCACTGCTGGTGTCCACCCATTTCCGCTGGCCATGCAGCATTTCAATTCGTGTGTTTCCCATGTGGTTTGTTTACTTTTGTTTTCCAGTTCGGTGCCTGCACTGCTGGCATCCGCCCTTTTCCCCTTTTCAGCATTTTATTGATTTGTCTCCCAGGTGATTTCTGTACTTCCCCAAACAGGTTACTGTTAGGGGTTCTAAATGCTTTCTAAGAGTGTCCGCCTTGGCCTTCCGTCCGGCTTGTCTCTCTTGGTCTCCATTCTTGTTGGTCACTGTGTCCTCCTTCTTGTTGGTCACTGTGTCCGCCTTGTCTCCCTTCTGTTTCCTTTTGTCTCCCTTCTTGTCTCCCTTGTGTCCGCCTTGTCTCCCTTCATTCTTTCTTTGTCTCCGGTCTTGTCTCCCTTCTTGTGGGTCATTGTGTCCGTCTTGTCTCCCTTCTGTTTCCTTTTGTTTCCCTTCTTCTCTCCCTTCTTGTGTGATCATTGTGTCCGTCTTGTCTCCCTT